TAGTAGCTGGGCACAGTGGCTCACAACTGTAATCCCAGCACTTTGGGAGGTGGAGGTGAGAGGATTGCCTGAGCCCAGGGGTCTGAAACCAGCCAGGGCAACTTGAGGAGACCTTATCTCTACAATAAATTTTAAAAATTAGCCAGGTGTAATAGCGTGCACCTGTGGTTCCAGCTACTTGGAAGACTGAGGTAGAAGGATCGCCTGAGCCCAGCAGGTCAAAGCTGTGAGCATGCCACTATATTCCAGCATGCGCAACAGGACGAGACTCTGACTCAAAAAAAAAAAAAAAAAAGATACAGTCAGATAGTGATAAATTCTTTGTAAATATAATAATAAGGGACTGAAGGGGAATTGGAAGTAGGGGAGTTGGTATTACAGTTTTTTGTTTTTTATTTTTAGTTGGAGTCTCACTCTGTTACCCAGGCTAGAGTGCACTGGCACATTTACGACCACCACAGCCTCAACCTGTTGGGCTCAGGCAATCCTTCTGCCTCAGCCTTCCAAGTAGCTGGAACTACAGGCGCATGCCATCACGCCAGCTAATTTTTTTGATTTATTGTAGAGATGAGGTTTCACCAAGTTGGCCCAGGCTGGTCTCAAACCCGTGGTCTCAGGCAATCCTCTCACTTTGGCCTCCCAAAGTGCTGGTATTATAGGCTTGAACCACTGTGCCCAGCCTGGTATTAGTCTAGTTTTAAATAGACTAGTCAGGGGACTCATTGAGAGGATGATGTTTAAGTGAAGACCAGGAGTTGAAGAAGTGAACCATGTAGATATCTGGGGGAATAACATTCCAGACCAAGAGAACTGCAGAGGCAAAGGCCCTCAGGAGGGAGTGTGCTTAGTATGTTTGAGGATCAGCTAAAAAGGGAGGCCAGCAAGATGGAAGAAGAGCAAAGAGGAGAACAGGAGATGATCAGTGACAACAGGATCAGGTTGGGCAAGGACTTGTAAACCAATGTAAGTCCTTGGCTTTTCCTTGGAACAAGTGGAAAGCCATGGGGAAAGGGGATGAACAAGGGCATGATATGATTCATCTGCCCCTGGTAATCTAAGTCTAGGGCCTCTCAGTTAGGGACTCTGGTTCCTTCCTCATGGGGGTGGGACTCGGGCTGGTCTATTTCTTGCCCCAGCCTGGGCTCCTCACACTGGCTGCTGTAGTGAGAGCAACACTTGGGAAGACAACGGGGGGGGGGCCTCACTCTTTCCGCCTTTTTTCTCTCCACAGGACAGCCGTGACTCCCACCTGATGTCCTCCCCTGCAGCCCTGCCCACACCTGGCCATGCGGTGCCACTTTCTGTTACCCGTCCATCACCCTATGGACGAGCTCAGCGTGTTCCCTCCCCAGGCCTCCCAGCTCGGGTTTGTATTAACAACTAGGGGCTGGCCAAGGGCAGGACAGTCTAGCTGGAGAAGGTCTCGGTTTCATCCCTGCTCAGCCACCCACATCTCTCCCTCAGACCTCATATTCAGTGTTGCGTCGTCTTGCTGCTCAGCCCAAAACCTGGTTCACACCCTTGGCATCAGGTCCCAGAGCGTCAGCCCCCAGAGTTCAGCAGGTAAGAGAGGGCAGGGGAGGTAGCTGGCATAGGCCAAGGCTGGGGGAGGAAGGAGATGAAGGGGTACAGGAGTTTGGGTCCCCTCTGTGGGTGCTGGGCCTTGCTGACATCTCACTTCTGCCCAGGCCCGAGGGTTGAGTGGCCTCTCCCCCCAGTCCTGCCCTGAAGAGCCTGCCCTGCCCTGGGTAAGTAGAAGCCTTCCCATGCTGAGATCCCTCGTCGTGTCCTATTCGCCTGGAGGCCCAGGAGTTTGAGGAGTTTGAGTTCAAAAAGCCACCTGACTCTCCGACTCTCCATGTTTCTCTACTGCCCCTGGTAATCTAAGTCTAGGGCCTCTCAGTTAGGGACTCTGGTCCCTTCCTCGTGGGGATGGGACTCAGGCTGGTTTTTTTCCTGCCCCAGCCTGAGTTCCTCACATGCACCCTTTCCTCCTCTGGCAGGAACAGATTGCAGTACGGTTGTTTGACCAGGAGAGTTGTATAACGTCACTAGGTGGGTCTGAAAAAACACTTGTGGCCACTCCTCCTGCACTATACCCCAACAGAACCCCCAGCCTCCAGAAGCAGAAGTTGCAGGTGGGTCTGTGGGGGCAACAGCTTCCATATCTGATGAGCAGTGACGGGGCTTGGGAAGGGGGAAGGGAGTGGAAGAGGTATAGGAATACGACAGTGGGAGACTATTTTAACCCACATCTTGATATTGCACTGGGGTGCTCTCTTCTAACACAGCGCATCAATATCCTGCAGCAGCTGCTGAGACAGGAGGTAGAGGGGCTGGCAGGGGGCCAGTGTGCTCCCCTTAAAGGAGGCTCCTGTCTGGATATGGTTGAACTTCAGCCCCTGCTGACTGAGATTTCAAGAACTCCAAATGCCCCAGAGTGCAATACTGGGACTTCCTACCTTCCTGGCCTGTCACAGCACTCTGGGTTGCCAAAGCCCTGCCCTCCAGAGGAGTGTGGGAAACCACAGCCCTGCCCTCCAGCGGAGCCAGGGCCCCCAGAATCCTGCTGTGGGAGTGAGCCTGAGACACCAGAGCCCTCCCCCGAGGAGCAGCTGGAAGTATCAGTGCCCTGCCCTCCAGCAGAGCCAGGGCCCCCAGAGTCCTGCTGTAGGAGTGAGCCTGAGACACCAGAGCCCTCCCCCAAGGAGCAGCTAGAAGTATCAGCACCCTGCCCTCCAGCAGAGCCTGGAACCCTTCAGTCCAGCCGCCAGGGGCAGGCTGGAGCCCCAGAGCCCTGCCCTAGGGTAGAGCTGGGGACATCAGAGGCATGTACCCTGGAACCTCAAAGTCCAGAGTCCGGCCCACCACCCAGCTGCAGTCAGTGGACTCCGGCAACCACCAGCCTGATCTTCTCTTACCAACACCCACTTTGTGCCAGCCCCCCAATCCGCTCACTGCAGTCTCTGAGGCCCCTGTCGGGCCAAACAGGTAAGGAGTTGGTTGGGAAGGGTGTGAACAAAGGAGGTGTTCATCTCTCTGTGTGAGCTGGGGCCTTGCCCTACACCAGGCGATTCCATATTCTTCCCTCGCCTCCTACCCTGCCCCAGCCTGTCCGTCCCTCAGGAAGCAGGGGAAGAGCTGCATGTCTAGCCCTGGCCTCCCAATTGGCCTGGCCCTTGGTGGAGGAGGGGGAATGGGAGTACATGGTGGGAGTATAGGACTCCAGAGCTCCCTCTAAATTCTCCAGGCCTCAGCAGTCTGGCCCCTCGAACCCTGGCCTTGAGGCAGCGCCTCAAAGCATGTCTCACCACCATCCACGGCTTCCACGAGATGCGTCTGGATGATGAGTGTGCCTTTTACACTAGCCGAGCCCCTCCCTCAGGCCCCACCCGAATCTGCACCAACCCTGTGGCCACATTACTCGAACGACAGGACACCCTGGTGAGACTCCAACCCACAGCCAGGCAGTGTCTACACAGCAAGCCTTGTGGGAAGTGGGGAGTGGGGACAGGGGGCCAACCTGGGCTCCTTTACAAAGAGGCCAGTTTGGCTACAGTGCAAGGGTGGCAGGGCTGTGACAAGGTCTCCTTTCTCTCCAGTGTTTTATTCCGGTTGATCCTGCTGTCCCTCAAGCCTCGCTATCATGAGTTACCCTCCTTCACCTACTCCCGCCTTGCCTTGCTTCTTCCCTTTATCCTTTATTTATTGTCAGTCTCCCCATCAGATTGGGAGCCAACACCCTTTTATCCCTTAATAAAGTTTCCAAAGTGTCTAACTGTCCAGCTAATTAGTGTTTTTTGTTTTGTTTTGAGACAGGTTCGAACTCCACTGTCACCCAGGCTGGAGTGCTGTGGCATTATCCTGGCTCACTGCATCTTGACCTCCTGGGCTCAGAAGATCCTTCTACCTCAACCCCAAAGTAGCTAGGACCACACCACCACACCCTGCTAATTTTTAAATTTTTTTGTAGAGACGAGGTCTTGCTATGTTGCCTAGGCTGGTCTTGAGCACCTGGGCTCAAGTGATCCTCCCCGCCCAGGTTCCCAAAGTGCTGGGATTACAGGTGTGAGCCACCATGCCTGCAAGATGATGAGTTTTAAGTGTCCAAAGAGGTCAGCTACTGCTGTTGCTTTCCAATTGACCACATGGTGGCAGTGTCCTCCAGTTTAGAGGCCAGCCCTGGGCTCTCAGGATTCCCCAGGCTCTGTCATCCAGAAGCTGTCCTGAAGGAAGTCATTCCACTCTTGCCTAGCCCACCCCCTCAGCAAGCTCTTTGAGTATGGGGATGGGGAAGGTGCAGTTGTAGATCGTGTTCTTGCTCCTTGAGATCAGTCCCGCTTCCAAGAGCCATCAGCTATTCCCTCATTTCCTAGAGCTCCTTTTCTAGAACTCTCCCCCTGAATTTGCAGTATAGCAGAAGCACCAGATCCAGACATTTGGAAGCTTCCCTTGTTAGTGTCACTCTGGTTGGTGTCTCCCAGCACCTACAGCGAGAGACCTCACAGCTCTTACCGAAGCTGATACCATCCCCCTCCTTCCCAGATCAGAGCAGAAGCCTTAGGCTGCCCCCCTCCCCTGTTCCCCTAGAGGCAGGCCTTGCCAGGAATTAACTAAACCTTTGCCTCTGGCAGAGATTGACAGGCAGGATAGGAGTTCTTTAAGGGAGTGAAAGAAAGGGTCAGCCACTCCCCACCCCCCTACTCTGTACCAAGTTAAGCAGCTACACACATCTCCCAACCTCACTTTATTGGAAGAGGCAACAGCAGCTGTAGCCCCAGGGCCTAGCCCGGAGAGGGGTAGAATGGGGACTGTACAGAATGAGTTTTAAATGCCAGGAAGGAATTCACTGGTTCCTCCAGTTCACAGGAAGGTTGCCAAGGTTGGAGCCTGAAAGTGGAGATGAGGGGAGGAGGGGATGGCGAGAGAAAGTTGCCACGACAGAGAACCAGCGCCTACCCCGTCTTAATTTCTCCTCTCGCCTCAACGGGCGCCTCCTGTTTCTGTTCTTTCCCTCCCAAGCTGCCGGGGTTTCCTTTCCGCCTTCTGGGCCTCTGAGCCCCGGCTGGCAAAACTGCTCCCCATCTCCGAGCAAAAGAGGCAGCCACGACCTCCGCCCCTTGCGGCCCCGGCTTCACAGGCGCGCACGCGGGTGCGGGTGGCCCCTCCGGAAGCCGCGCTGCTCCTCCTCCAGCCGGGTCTGCTCTCCCCAGGCCCTCATACCCTTGAGTCCGAGAGCCCGCCCGCCCGTGTAGGCCGCCTCCGGGAGCGGGAGGGTCCGCCCCACCGCCAGGCTCTCAAAGGACGGGGTGGGGCCCTGGGCGGGGCCGGCTGGAGGCGGGTGAGGGCGGGAGCGAAGGGGCGAGCGGGGCGCGGGGGGCGGGGCCCGGCTCAGTCCGGGTAGATGATGAAGCCGGAGAAGGTGCTGTACTTGTTGGTGTTGCCGCCGTGCACCTTCCCGCCGTCCAGCTTGATGAAGACCTCGTCGCCCACGTCCAGGTGCAGAATGACGCTGTTGCTGGCGTAGTCGTAGTTCTGGTCCGCGTCTTGAGCGATGGCGCTGGCTCGGACCTAGCGAGGGAGAAGAACAGAAGAACCCGCTCAGACCCCGCGCGGAGCTGGGGTGCCGAGTCGGCGCGGCGGGGCGTCCGAGGGCGGGGAGGACATGGAGCGGGTAGGAGACCGCTGCGCTTCTCAGGTTCTCCCACTCACTAGCTGTGTGGCGGGCAGATTTCACGCCTTCTCTGGGCCTTAAGTTGAGCTACAAAGTGAGAAGGTAGCAACAGAGCACACTTCATACGGTTGTCAGGATTAAATGAGTTACTACATGTGAAGTGTGTTCCAAACAGTGGTTTGCATTCTGAAGTTTTATTTTCATTTCTTCATTTATTTATTTTTTGAGTCAGAGTCTCACTCTGTCACCCAGGCTGGAGTGCAGTGGCAAGCTCATGGCCACCGCAGTCTCGACCTGCTGGACTCAAGTGATCCTTCCGCCCCAGCAGTCCAAGTAGCTGGAACCACAGGAACGTGCCACCACATCGGGCTAACTTTTTAATTTATTGTCTCATCAAATTGCCCAGGCTGGTCTTGAACCCGTGGGCTCAGGCAGTCCTCTCACCTTGGCCTCCCAAAGTGCTGGGATTATAGACATGAGCCACTGTGCCTGGCCTATGTATTTACTTTCTGATTTGGGGGTCTCTGTCACCCAGGCTGGAGTGCCACGGCTCGCTGCATACTCAACCTCACGGGTTCAAGCAATCCTTCTGCCTCAGCCTCCCAAGTAGCTGGAACTGCAGGCATGCACTATTATGCCTAGCTAATTTTTTTTTTTATATTTTGAAGAGACTAGGTCTTGCTATGTTACCGAGGCTGGTCTCCAACCTATCCCTTGCCTCCTTCTTCCTCCAACTAGCCTAAGCAGTCCTCCCGTCTCGGCCTCCCAAAGAGCTGGGGTTACAGGCGTAAGCCACCGCTCCTGGCCTTATTCTCATTTTAAAGATAAAATTAGCCTATAGGATATTTTCTAGGATTCCGTAGTGGCTCAGACCTCCTGTTAGTCCTAAACTTGGGTTGGCGTCCCCATGTGATGGGCATAGGTGTGTCTGTGTGTGCGCCACAGGGTATGGGCCACGGTAAAGGTGCAGGTTAGGGTAAGTGCAGCCAGCGTAAGGTGTACTCTTGTGCTCTGGCCTCGGGGGCACAGATTTCGGGTGGGAGGAGCACCCACTTGTGTCCAGATTGGGGCTGCCTTCTGCTGGAACAGGGAGCCCCGTCCTCCTCTCTGGCTTCTCAGTGCTCACCTCCAGTGCCAGCCCCCCTCTTCCATCCCACAGGGGCTGGTTATTAACTCATTAATTATTCATCATTATTCTAATCACTATTTACCATCCCCAGGGCCGCAGCGCCCGCACCGTAGAATACAGAATGGGAGCCACGCAGCCTCCTCCCCTCTGAAATAGACACGCACTAGTTACACACTCCCTCCGCCTTCTCCCAGCCACCCTGCATAGGCCAAGCACACCTACTCGGTGCCGCATGCAGACACACCCGGCTCTATCCTCACACCTTCACACTCCACACTTGCACCATGCGTCCACACTGTCACACTTCCTTACACACATACGCTATCACCCCATACAGACACACTCACCCCTTTTCCGTGGGTTTCTGGGGCAGTCCTGCTGGGAGGAGACCCCAAAGTAGGTCTGGGGGCAGGCAGTTCCCGCGGGGGTAGCAGATGGACTGGGACACAGCAGGCCTGATGTTCCTGGGTCAATACCACCCCCCTTTGCACCAGGGCATTCAGAGGTCACTGCTCAGTCCCAACCTCCCCATGCAGCCTGGGACTCAGGCACCTTCTCACACCCCACCCCAGCCTCCCTCACACGCTCAGCCTCTAGTTCCAGATAATCAGTCCAGGTCCTCAAGCTGAGACCTTGGGGCTATTCCTCCAAACCAGCAGTGAATCTGACAGGGAGCAGCAGAACCCGGAGACTGAGAGATTGCTAGGGAGAATGTGTGCCCTACAGGACCAGGGCAGGGTCCCAGGCTGCAGTTCTACCTGTCCCTTACCTCCTTCCTCCTCCAAATCTGTTCTTTCCAGCGCCTGACTGGCTGGCCCCTGAGGTACCAGGCCATGACAGCACACACACACACACACACACACACACACACACACACGACTCAGTATTAGCTGCTGACAAGGCCTATGCCCCAGGCCCTGGGGTAAGCAATAGGACAGCTACCTGGCAAATAAACAAGGGAGTGTTTTCCTTCTTTTATACCTTTTCCTTGAAAATCCAAGCTGAATGCCCCCACATGGGAAAGACTGCTGACTTCCCACTGCCTGAGACATGGATTCCATTCTAATTCAAAGGAGCCTAGATTCCAGGTAGCTTGCCCAAGGCAAGATGGGGAAGCCCAAAGGCCAGGGGGCTACCCTAGAAGAGAGGGTAGCCCTAGACAGGACAAGAAAAGAGGCTAACTGGCAGGGGGAGACACCAAAGACGTTTGCTGTGGTTTCCCATAGTGGGAACGTGAGGTCGTGGCAGCAGAAACTTTAAGCTTGAGTCCTAAGTTCTAATTCTGTCTCCATTCCTAATGCTGCCTGAGGCCCTAGGCAGGTGATGTTCTTTCTCTGGCCCCCGATTCCTCTTTGGGCAAATGAAGAGATGTGTAAGTTCCTGGATTCAGTGAGGCACTTTCAGGGAAGGATCTGGGGTTGTGGAATGAGAGCGGGGAGAGGTGGCAAGCCACCAGTCAGATCTGGGCCAGGTGGGGAAGGGGCGCCTCACCTGCCCGTTCTTCATCAGGTCGGCCCACATGCTGGTGCCGTCGCCGCCGCGCATGAGCACGTGGTAAGCGAAGAAGTAGACGCCCGGCATGGGGCAGGTGAACTTGCCGCTGGCTGCCTCGTAAGCGTTGCCCACGTTGGTCACCACGTCGTCGAAGCGCAGCACCTCGTAACCCTCATGAGGCCGCCGCAGGCCCGCGTAAAAGGCTATGCGAGGCACGTAGCCGGCGGGGGGCGCCACCCCGCCCGGGCCTGGGCCGGGGGGACCTGGGGGACCCGGCCTGCCGGGCTCTCCTGGGGGCCCTCTGGGACCTGGCGGTCCCGGGGGGCCCCGCAGGCCTGCCTTCCCGCGTCGGCCCACCTCTCCCTTGGCGCCTGGCGGGAAGGGGGGCGCAGAAGCGGGCGCTCCGTCGGGGTCTGGGCCTCGGGGCCCATGCGGGTCGCACACCATGCGGCAGCGACCCAGCATCTCGTAGTGTGCGGGCCCGCGGGAGCTGTGCACCAGCAGCGGGATGGCCACCAGCAGCAGCAGCACCATGGCCACCCCGACGGCCGCGCCCGCCACCCTCTTGCGGCGGCTCAGCCGCGACGCGG